TAGCATTAAAATCTCTCTATCTTAAAACATTCACATGGTTTGGAGAGGTGGCGTTATGGAGTAAAGGGAGATGAAGAGTGGGAAGAAGATAGATTCATTCATCCATTTTGATGGCACACCTTTCTCCGGGCATATGGCAGTTTCATGCAAATTCAAACCAGAGCACAAATGCAAAAGAATAATTGCCCATTAAAGCGGTTGTATATTTTTATAGCTTTGATGCAGAATCTTCCCCCCTGTTGGTTTTTGCATCTGCTACTCTTCCATCTATCCCAGAGCTCTAAAACTTTAATATGCAGTTTATAACCCTCAAGTATTTTCTACTGGTTTTGTGTTTCTTCTCTTGGGATCTCTAGGTTTGTGGGAATATATCATTTCCTTTTGTGTTTGAAGGTAACCACTGTGTTTCAAAATCCAGAAATCACAGTAGCCAGTTGTATAAATAAATAAAATCTAGGGGCAATTTGAGACAAGTAGCAGTACATCTTATAGTTGGTGGGGAGGAAGCAAGCATTGAAGGGTGGAGGAAATAAGGTGTGAGATAAGAACCTCAGGTGATTATATTGGTTAATTCTTTTATCTAATATACCCACACTGTTTTGCCCTAATATCATTTATATACCCAGTTGCATCATAACATTTTCTTTATGTTAAGTTTCATGATGTAGCACTCTTTTTTTTTTTGTTTCGTTTTGTTTTGTTTTTGGTGAGGCAGTTTGAGGTTAAGTGACTTGCCCAGGGTCACACAGCTAGTAAATGTCAAGTGTCTGGTCTGATGCCAGATTAGAACTCAGGTCCTCCTGACTCCAGGCCCAGTGCTCTATCCACTGCGCCACCTACCTGCCCCAAGCACTCTTTTTTTTTTTTTTGAAGAGAATTTTAGTTTATTAACATATAGAAATATTTACTTTGTGAGAATGGAGCTCAATGGGCAGGGAAAATTCAGATAGGGATATTTATCTGTCAACAAGATGTGCAGTCAGTATGTATTCCAAAGATTCTTATGTTGTGATCTTCTCAAGAAACTCATTTTTAGCATATGGACTAAATCCAATTTTCATTGCAGTGATACCAAATTTTTCACTTTGATTCATGCCAAATAAGGTTTAAATGGGAACCTTTCCAGCATAATGAAGCTCAGTTTTTTTTCCTTCTCCTAGTCAGACACTAAATGATTTTTTAGTGTTAGCAACCCAACCTGAACACACTCCATTGTTCCTTATTAATGATTTGTTTTAATGTTTATTATCTAAAGTTAAAACAGTCAAAATCAAACTCAAATTGGCAGGCTTAGAAATATCTTTCCTTTACCACGCATTTTACTGACAAGTCAGAAAGTTGATGAGAAAGCCAATGTTGGACAATTATGATTTTTATCTCTATGTCTCTTTTTTATTCCAGTAGGCCAGATTTTGAGAACTGCAATAAAGGGTTGCTGTTTTTCCTTTTAAATTAGATTGAAAAGTTTTCTTTAATGATCTGATAACTTTAGGTGCCATTCATCCATTCAATAAGCATTTCCTAAGAATCTGATGTTTGTTGAGTGTTGAGCCATGAATCCAAAGACAAAAACAAAACAGTCCTTGTGCTTCAGGGGCATACATCCTATTGACAGCAAACAACATGTACACGTATAAGTAAATACAATATATATACGTACATACATATATGTGTGTGTGTATGTATACACACCCACCCACCCACACACACACACACACATATATATATGTATATATATATATAAATATTAGGGGGATGGGAGTAGCCACTGAACGAATCAGTAAAGGCCCCATGTAGGAAGTAGCACCTTAGCTGTGCTTGAAGGTAGCTTATTTCTTTTCTTTGTTCACAAAATCAAATAGAATTGAGACATGGATCTGTATAGCTCAGAGAAAGTTACTTCTCTTGTTCTGCATTGTACAAATTATCTAGATAAATCATTTCAAATATGCAATCCTATGTGGTACCTTTATCTACAAAAGCATACTGGTAGAAAAAGGGATGATCCAGCTAATCAGCACAGTGGTTGCTCTGAACAATAGCCAATAACCATGTTGACATATTTTCCCCCGAATCTCCCATTTTTATAGCAATGAAGGGAAGAAAGACAGTGGGAAATATGGCAAAAAATTAACATAGATCAGAAAGATGATTACTTATTCCATTTCTGCATCCTTTCCTTCTCCTAATAATGTCCATTATACCATCTTGCATTTAGCAGGTGTTTTATAAATACTTGTTCAGTTGAAGTATTCTCTGGTCATTTCCGCCCCCCCCCCCAAACATTTATCATTTATCATGTTCTGGGGTTGTACTGTCCTGTGTTTCCAGAAAGAGCTATCTTTTTATGTGGTGACAGAAAAAGACATGAATGCCTCTCCACATGTATTTCCTATTAAGTCTGTGCACTGCTCTCCAATGTGATCAAAACAGACACTCAAACACCAACACCATTCAATTATAATAGTATTTAACAAAATTAAAAGCTGTAAGAATTCCAAAATTGTTATCCTTTGGTCCATGCTGTTTGTTTTTTCATAGAGAAAATATATCTTCTAACTTTGTGGTTTCTAGGCAAAGGCAGCATATATAAAAAATGGAAATTATCTCTCTGGGAACCATGGCTATAATATAATAATGAAAATTATCACCCTGGGAATTCTGGCTGTAATACAGTTAAGTCATTTGTCTATTGTTCATTAGCAGATATTTCTTGAATAGTCATTTTGTACCTGACACTATATTTAGTATTTTAGAAAGCTTACAGGGTGTGAAGAGAGGCCTTTGCCATCAGTGAATGAAATCCAAAGTGGATTCTTCACTGAAGTATCCATTTCACTTTGATTACACTGAGCAGGCAGAAATATCCTTTGAAATCCATTTATTGTTCATGCCAAATGGGATATGCTCCCTGCCCTGCCAGTGATAACAAGTTGATACAAATTCTACAAGTTGATAAGATAGCCTTCACAAGCATGATGTACATTTGCACAATAAATGGATTTAAAAGGACATTTCTGCCTACTCAAGGTGATGTTTAGTTGTTTCAGTCAGGTCCTGACTCTTTGTGACCCCATTCGGGCTTTTCTTGGCAGTGGTTTTCCTTTTCCAGCTCATTTTACAATTGAGGTAACTGAGGCCATACAGCTCGTAAGCATCTGGTTGGATTTGAACTCAGGTTTTCCTGATTCCAGGCCCTACACTCTATCCTCTGTGCTATCTAGCTCCCTACTCAAGGCAATCAAAATGAAATGGATACCTGAGTGAAGAATCCATTTTGGAGTTCAGATCCTCCATTTGGATGGTCTATATTGCCCTAGATCATAAGATGGTTTCTCAGTCCTCTGTTTTGCCTATGGAGACCTGGCCTCTTCAAGAATATGAAATTTAAATCCTAAAACTCATTCATAGACATGTTTACATTCCTTTAATAAAATAGGAATTTCTCTAATGCAGTCTGCTGCAAGCCCAAAAGCCATGTATTAAGACCTATAAATACCTTATATGGCATCTAAAAGGCATTTTCTTTTTTGTAACAAAGAGGTATAAAATTGAATACTGGCTTTGCACTTTTAACAGAATGTTCTCCTCTTGCTGTATTGTTGTGGTTCTGTTTCATGTTGTATCTCAACATCTAAATCCTAACAGAATTACTGTAAAACCTGCTTGTCGCTGAGAGGGATCCTGTAAAACTTGGAAGGTGCTGTAGCCAGGTGATAATGGATGGGTCAGCATAATTACAGTATTTCCTCACCCAGGCAGCCAGCTGCTTCAGCAGATTGTGAATTTTTCATTTTCTTTATTTCAAAATTCAGTGTGTTTCTATAAAAACTTAATATTTAAACTGTGGAAAGACACATCCAGAGTCAAATCTGCTCTCCATCCTTCCCCCCACTCCCATCCCCACCCCCAAATGTGGAAGCCAGCTTCTCATCTCATCACTTCTCATTTATGATACTAGGATCTACTTACTTTCTACATTAAAATTCACACCTCTCTGCTATTTAAAGCATATTTGTTGAAACACCAGCCAGGAAATCCAGGTGCTACAGGCAGCATATGCTATAGGAAACCTGAGAGGGAAATAAAGCCGGAAGGTTTGCTCTCTTCTTACCTTTTAAAGTTTTCAGACTAAAGTAGAAAGCTTAAATCAGCCTGGTTTGATTCATTCCTCTTGCCTTACTATCCTGAAATCCTCAGAACCCATATTGAATGGGGGATGGCGATGAAGAGAATCTTTCTCATAAATATTAAATAGCATATTGCCTACCACTCCAGCCCCTACTCTGCTTGGGCCTTAATTCAGTTCTAATAGTAAGGTATTATAAATAGCTTACTTTTGAACCTAATTACACAGGTTGCCTCACTGTTTTTAAGCACAGAAAAATTCCCACATCCCACTCTTTGGGGTTACATTTTAAAGCAGGTCTTACAGGATATATATGCAAGAGCATTTCTTTTAAATCAAACCTCATTTTTTTCTCTGGCCTTTAATATACTGCCTCTATTTAGGTGGCATAGTGAATAGAGTGCCAGGCCTGGAGTCAGGAAGACCAAAGTACAGATCCAGTTTCAGATACTTGCTAGCTGTGTGACCCTGGGCAAGTCACTTAACCTTGGTTTGCCTCAGTCTCCTCATCTGTAAAATGGGGATAATAATAGCACCTACCTTAAAGGATTGTTGTGAGGATCAAATGAGATCATCATAAAGTGCTCAGTGCAGTGCCTGGCATAAAGCAAATACTATGTAAGTGTTAGATGTAATAATAATTATTATTATTATTATTGTTACACTCTAGAACATAATAACTAGAAAGAACTTTATATATTATCTGCAGATAATACAGATGAGGAAACAGAGTACACAAACCTAGGATGATGGTAGGTTTCCTACATCCTCCCTCTGTGTGTCCACATGTACATAAGGAGTGATTTGGGTTTTGCCTCCTGTATCTAATCCATCCATCTTCTCCTTCTCCTTTCTCTTCTGTCTCCCATAGTGCCTGGCTTCCCTTATCCAGCCGCAACTGCAGCTGCTGCTTACAGAGGAGCCCACCTCAGAGGCCGTGGCCGTACCGTCTACAACACCTTTCGAGCAGCGGCTCCTCCTCCCCCAATCCCAGCCTACGGAGGGTAAGTGTGGCAGTCTCCCTTAGTCCTCACCCCTGAGGCACTGAGCTGTTTGTGAGTGCAGTGCATGCTGGTCTTGTCTCCCCACTGGAACCAACCCAGCATGCAGCCCATCCAAGTGCCTGAAGTGGAGCACCTTGCACCGAGTATTGAAAAATGAGTGTAATTTGTCCTGTCATGGTTGGTGGCTTTAAGCATTTTATATGTCACATGTCGTTATGTAAATTCTCTTTGAGAGTGAATGCTGTAGAACAGAGAAATGGTTACAGCTAAAGATGTATTTTTTATGATTGCAAACATCTGGTTATTAAGGAGGTTGGATCATGCTTAACCCTTGAAATTGGGCCCCAAACTTTTTATACACAAAAATCATAGTGGTGTTTTTTTGCCCCTCCCTAATGACACATGTACCGAAATCTTGACCTTAATTTATGAAGTGTTTGCCAAAAAAGAGAGAAGGAATAAATTGAGCACCACTTCAAATACAGACTTATAAAAAACTGGATTAAATAGAAATTGTTTTATTTCATTTTCCCCCAAATTTACCTCTATTCCCTCCCTTTTCGGGGGGTATAAGGGAAGGGACCAAAAAAAATACACCTCTTTCTTTCCCACAGTTGGCTGCAATTCATGACTCAGCTATTGCCAAATCCTAAGGGAATGGTGGTGAAATTCTGCTTAATTACCTTTAAGATCAAGTGGAGTTGCGTGATTTGATAGTTATCATGAGACACTGCTCACCTGTACCATTAAGTTCAATGAAGAACTGCAATAATATTTGACTCTAATCAAGAGAAGATATGTGTAATTCAGTGAAGGGAAATCTAATTATACCAGGATACAAATTTCTGAGGTGTGGTTCTCTTGATGTTCTAGATTGTATTCAGAAACCTGTTGGAAAAGTCAAGAGGCTTGCAAAGCTTTGCAGATTTGAATTTTTAGATATTAGTCATTAGATATTGAGATCTTCTCCCTAATGCAGTGCATTTTACCCATGATAAATGTCTAATTGCTTTAGATTCAGGAGACTTTAATCCGGATGTCAGATTATAAGCTGCCCAAAGTAGCCTAGACCAAAATGACCTTCTATAATTTCCCCCCTTTCAGTAAATTAGACTTTCATGAGATATAAATAATACATATGACCTTTTTAGTTAATGCGCTGTGGTACTGTGATCATAACAATGAGCTCTGATCACCTCAGGACTGCAGCAAACCCATTTTATGGGTCAGGAAACTGAGTTCTACAAAGATGTTTTTTCCATGTACATATACATGTTTTTTCCCATGTATATTTCAGTACATGAGTTGTGGAAACCAAAAAAATTGCTTCCTAAGTTTATGAAATAGCTAAAACATGGTCCTATAGCTATAAATGAAAAATTGCACGTTTACACATTAGTTTGGCTTAAAAGTATGTTATCTCAGTGGAAGATAATTGCATATTTTTGGTATGTACCCATAGTATCTCACTACTATATTGAACAGAAAAACATAAAGTAAAATTATATGGCTTATTCTCACGTGAGTAGTTTATAAAATCTCAGAATAACACACCTGCTATAAAATTAAAATTTGCTAACTTATAAGAAAAAGTAGTCTTTGTTGAAGATAGTCATGCATAACTAATTAATGGTTTTTTCACAAGGGAGCTGTGCAGCCATATTCAACTTGCAAAAAATAATGTGTTTGTGAATACCCTGGAAATTATTTGGATTTAGCATCCTAGTGTCATTGCTAATCATTTTTGTAATAGTAGTACACATAACACTTTTGCTGATAATCTAATCTTTTGTAATTCCAATTTAATAGTAAAGAAATAGGCAAAGTTCTCAAGTGGTACAAGTAAAACTCAAAAATAAAGGCATGTATTTTCAAAGAAACTTGGAAGTTGGGATTCTATGGCTTGTATCTATATGATAACTAAGCAACTAAATGAAAAGTAAAGAAAAAAATTCAGGTCATCATCCAGAAGTTTTGTTTTTCATGATATCAGATATCTGGATATTTGTAACCACTGGAATGTTGGGTGTCATGTAGAACAAACATCATAAGTGAATTTTTCCCTTTCCATCTGTGTTTTGATATTCTATGGATAGACCCCCAAATCATTATGAAGGCTCAGGAGATCATTTTGTCCTGGGGAAACAGGTTTGTTTCAAAGTAGAACCTGAGTTGATATATTGAAAAAGGGATCCATGTCCTCATCCACTTTACTCATATAGAGTAGGAAAAGGTAGGAGACGGCATCTAACTTGTACTCAGGAAGAACAAAAGAACACGAACAGGGGTCCAGATGATTGATTTTGCAGGTAAGATGTATTCCTTCGGCAGATTCTCTCCAGAACCTGAGACTTGTGGCAAGGCTGTCTTCATTACAGGGTCTCTTCTGTTTATTGTTCTAAAGTTCACTGGCTCTTGAACCAATTACAAGACCTAACTTTAAGGTTTCCTTAATTTGTCTCCTTTTACCAAAGATCTTCCCTCTAGTGGATACCACCCTTTTGACATGTGCACACCAGAAGTATTCATTCATGGAGCCAACATAAGCATTTCTATCCACTTACTTAGCTTTACCTTCGTATCTTCTGGTGACAAAGCTTGAGTCACAGGAAGTTTATAAGTTCTATTTTCATATGAGTAAGCAGAAGCTTCTAGGGAATGTTTCCTCCATGCCTCACTAAATCAACTGATGTGAGCCTGAGGGCTTGATTAATTTAGGTCAGCCAATGTTTTTTTTTAATAGGCAATCATAAGGACAGGGTAACAGGAGATACTGGATTCTGGACTTGATTTTCTCCTTACCTCTCTGCATAACTTTTGGTAATGAACTTTGCCTTTATGTCCCTCACTTCTCTCTTCTGTAAAGTAGGCATATTAATACCTTAAGAATAATTTAGAAAGATAGTCAGTGTACTTCATGATATTTAGGATCATAAAAAACAAAGAAAAAGTCATTCCTTGCTGGGCACTTGATGAATGAAACTTAATGGAATTCCCCCAGGAATACCTTTAAAGTCCTCATAAAGTATAGTTCAAATGCTAGAATGGAATCCCTTGAGGTGTTCCATCCAAAGTAGACTTTCATCATTTCCTTTTTTCATGCTGACTTCTAATCTCCAGTTTGCATTGTTCATTTATTGTAAGTACTAGGCATAAAACAATACCACCTTCCCCCGTTTTCAGTATGTTCCCCCAAATAATACTGCATTTCCCCCAAATTTTAGCAATGACACAATTCTACAGTGGAGAGATAATCTCTAAATGTTGAAAGAAGCATCTAAATCTAACAGGACTAGAGTTTAACATCATAATTATATTTAATTACTCTTCCTAGCAGAAACAGAGGGAGGCCAGAGTATTTATGAACAGTGATTTTTAAAAAAGTATTTTTGTTTCTGCATGTCTCGGAAGTCATACTCTTAGCGTAGAGTATATTATTTTGATGGAGCCCTATACAATTATTTTAAATTTTATTTAAGTAAAATTATTTTGCTTTAGTGCAATAACTCCTGGCTTTCTTTTTTCCTTAAATGTTTGACTATTATTACTTTCCTAAAAAAATGAATTGTGCCTTTGCATTATGCTGTTGCAAAAGAATCTTGGCAGGATTGACAAGGATTAGAATTGCCTTTGCCTGTCTCAGCCAACAAGCCTTGCTTGCAAAAAGTATGAAGGGAACTGTTTTCTTTCACTATTTGTTCTGGACTTAATTTATCAGTAGCTGCATACTTTCCCCATTTCATTGATCCTCCTTTACTATTAATTAATCTGAACTACCAGGGAGTGGGTTTCTTATGACATTAAAAAAAGAAAAAGAGAGACATTGGATTTAATTTAATTTATTCAAGCTCTTAGACAAATTGATTGTGGTATGTTATGTGAAACATAAATATTACCAAAAACAAGTTTTACCTTTTGGATTAAGTTCCTAGGTAACTAATAATAATACCTAATAATATTAAATAATAATAAACAATAAATAAATAATACAGCTAAAATAATACTACATGAAAACCAAAAGATATAAGGAAACTGACAGCAGATGAGCTTATTTCATTCAATTCAATACAACAAATGTTTATTAAGTATTTTCTTAATGCAGAGTGTTTATAAGCACTGGGGGAGATTCAAAGATTAAACGAGACATATGGGCCTAACTTCCTTTATCTGATAATTGTAACAAACAAATGCTGATTAATGCATGGGTTGAGATTAGTTTTCTGTGAGTCAGCATTATTTTTCTTCTATGCTGTCATCTTCAAATTGAGAGCTGGACACTCCTGATCAAAAACCAAGTTTGAGGTTCAGTTTAAGAGTAATTATTGGAATTCTAATCTTTAATACACAAGGTGATCAAAACATATTACTCCTGGGCTAGTAGAAAGAGTGTCAGTCTAGACAGAGACTTGGGTTTTAGGCCTACTCTTTTCCTAATTAACTATGTGTACTTATCTGATTTGTTTGGTCCTCTTAATTTCTTCATCAATCAATTGTAGACAATAATACCTTTCCTAGCTGCTTTATAAAGTTGCTAGAAAACTCAAAATTAATAATAAGAGCACTTTGAAAAAACTAAAGTACAAAATAAACTGAGATCTTATCTGTGCACAGAGGAGGCCATATTTAGATGGACAAAGGAGATAGGTGAGCAATTGTCTCATAATTTTGATCAGTGTTGACAGATAATAAGAACTTAAGTGAAGCTTTAAAAAAACCCACCACCAGCACCAAACCCCATCCCCTTTCGTTAACAGTGGGCCTTTTAGCTTAAATAAAACCACATCTTTACTTTTTCTTCTTATAAATACAGAATATGAGTTAAAAGAAACGGAAACAGTCCTCAGTTTCAGTTAACTTTAGGGCATGACCAACATAATGATATACTAAAAAGAACATTGACTCTGGGAGTCAGGAGATCTGGGTTCAAGACCAGCTATTTGACCTTGAAGGAACCATTTTATTCACACAACTTTGTAATTCTATGATTCTATAAAAGCAGTGGAAAACGAAGAAGTGGCAAGAGTTCATTGTGTTAGATGGATGCTTATATTCACAGTGAAGTTAAAAGGTATGAACTTTGAAGGGGTAAATCTTAACTTCCAGTCTTATTTTAATAAGTTAGCAACCTGAGGTCCAAAGACATGAAGGTATGGCCACGGTCAAATGGCTACCATGTGGTATAGCTGAGATTACACGCAGGTCTTAAAATTCATTCCTAGTTCCATTTCTCATTCTACCTTATTGTTTATATCAAAGATCTATCTGGAAAAGTAGATAATAATTTTGCTGAGAATACTTTGGGTTCTTTCTACTCATAATGACTTTATATACAATCCAGTCAATCCAATTCAACAGGCATTTAGTAAGTGCTTTCTTTATACAAAGTGTTAGAGATACAAAGACATTAAAAACAAAAACATACTTTCCCTCAAGGAACTTGTATTCTACTGGGGAAATACAATATTTAAATAAAGAAATAAATACAGATTTTTTGAGACTGACAAACTACTAGCAACCAGGGGAATTAAGAAAGGCTTCCCTTAGGAGATGATTCTTGAGCTGAGGTGTGAAGGTTGGGATTCTAAGACAGGGAGATTAATTGGGAAAATATTCTAAACACAGGGAAAAATCTGTGCATAGTCATGGAGGCAGGAGAAAGAATGCCAAATTCAAAGACTAACACGTAGAACGGTTTGGCTGGAACATAGAGCACATTCTTAGAGTTGATTTAGAAGTAATTTAGCATAACCTCCCAATGTAATGCTTATGAAACCTATGATTATTATCAATCACAATTATCAAGAATAAAGTATTTTCATAATTTTTTTCTCTTCTTCCCCACCTCCATCCCCCACTGTGTCCCCAAATGTTCCCAAAAAGGAAGTAGAATAAGGCAAGTTAGAACAGAAATATTTTGGGGAGTTTGAAACCTGACTATAGCTCTGAGCTCTAAACACCTCTGTATGGTTTGTTCTGTTGCATCATCTCCATTTTGAGGCCCCATAGAATACTCTGAGCCTATTTCATGAAAGACGAAAACTATACCCATTTGAATTGCTTAAAGAGAATCCAGACGATGGTTCCCAACATTTTCTATTTCAGTATGTTGGATTAGAAGTTTAAGCTGCTTCTCACGTGGGATCCTGAACCTTATTCTTAGAAAATGAAAATAAAAACAGTAGAAAACCATTACCTGGCCACCTCCTAAGTAAGCACTGATAATCCTTTCTACATTGTTAAAGACAACATGTATCAGCTCTGAAAAATCTCCTTTGGACACACATTTTAAATTCTAGACCAAATCATATGCAGAGGCATTCATGTGTTTATAAAATGATTTCTCTGTAACAAAGTACTGGTTTTGGGGGTAAAACCAGCTCTGAAGCTGAAATCCAGAAAGGCACTTTACTGAACAAGAGCTGGTTTTCTATTTAAATGTTGTCTCCTTTAATAGGTTTAACATATACATGCTCTTTCAGCATCAGGAATCATTTGGAAAAGTCACAGAAAAAGTGAATCAAATAGGTTCCCTAACTTGTAAAATGCCATTTGGCCCTGAGGTATTGCCATGCTTTAGACTAGAACAACATGTATTGGGTGTCCCTGGCCTGAGCTAGACTAAGAATATTCAAAAACACTCTGTGTCAGGTTTTCTCTAGAGTAGTCTTTTTCTTGCAGAGATTGTCATTCTGTAAAGATAGTTTTGTGGAAATTAATTAAAGGACTGGGTTTGTTCTGTAATAATTAGAAATAGTTCCAAGAGTCTGCAGGTCATTTTTCATGCATCAGTCAGAGAGATTTGGAGGTTTGAAGACTGTGTTCTAAATTTACTTTGTAGAATTTAGGATGAATGATATAGACATATATATATATATAGTGTGTATATATATGTGTGTGTGTATACATATATATAAAACAGAAAATGCATATGATATCTAGAGGCTAAAATGAAATTCTTGGGTCTACTTTAGTTTCATATTTTTAAAAAGAATTCTGTATTTTAAATAAAAATCATTCAGCTGTGTGTCCCATTACATAGACATAAGTAAATAAGCTATAATTTCAAGGTACTTATTTACTAACATTTCATATATTAAGTAGAAAATCTGAGTCTTCACTAAATGCAAAACTAACTTTCAAAAGCAGTATTTGTCTAGGCTTCATTTGTTAAAACTCAACAATTTCTAAATTTAGAATTTATGCATTTCTACATTTCCATCCTTAAACACTCGGCAACTTGAAGTACAGTACACCACCATTCCCTGCTTCTTGCTAAAACAAATGCAAATTTCATTTTTCCCAGCTAAAGCTATTGATATTCTGCCCAACCTCCTTAAGCAATGTGAACACTGTCCCCTTTACACCTTTTTCATTCTTGTGACAAGAATAACCTCACCAGTGCAGGGGTTGGTGTGTTTGCATGTGGAAATGCACTAATATGGATGTTTTTCTTTGTGTGTGCATCCTTGCAGTGTTGTTTACCAGGATGGATTTTATGGTGCAGACATTTATGTAAGTATTCATTAATGTGCACGCTGTCTCTGAACATTCCTGGAGTCATTCTTTTTACAAGTTTGCTATGTAGCTTTAATCTAGGTTTTGGTTTTTTGTTGTTGTTGTTGTTTATTTGTTTCTTTTTGTTTTTCTATTTCCTTTTTCCTGGCCTGTCAAAAAATTGAGAGAACTATCTCTTAGGTGGAAAATCCTTTCCGCTCATTATGGCTATAATTGAGAAGTATAGTTGTGTAACTCTTCCATCATATCCAGAATGAATACAGACTTAAGAAAACATTTCTCTTTTGTGAAATTAACGTCTCTTCCTCCCTCACTCCACAAAAATGTGCTCTCCAAAGTTTAGTATTGCTCCTTACATTATTATTGTAACATCCAGGACCATATGGTTACTCATTTGAAGAGTTAAAAGATATTTTCATGGCTCTGTTTCCACTTGTATTTGTTAAAATAAACATTTAATTACTTATTTGTAGCAACAATAAGAAAAAAAATTATCATCTAACAAGGAAACTAGTAGAAAATTATGTTAAATTGTTACCATAAAATATATTTCAAATCTTAAACTTCAATCTCTATTCTCCAATCATTCCACTGCCCCTCCCCCAAATAAAAACACTATCTGATTCTAGAATTTTATTGAAACCTTTCCGCATACTTTTTTATACCTGGCTTAAAATAGATAAGATCATAATTAAACCTCTTTTTATTGATGCAGAGAGATTTCATCACCTTAATTATTATAGAATCAATCTTTCTCCAAAATACGATGAAAGCAAAATGGTATGAATATTTAAAATTCATTAGGTGGAATTTAAAAGCATCACCCATTTGTATTTTTAATCACCCAAGAAAGCACCTTAAAAATACTTCATAGTCTGCGATATTAAACTAGATATATGATAAACAGTTCACATTTCTGAGAAAGGGTATTTTGATGGAAGAAAGTAAGGACACTGTATTTCTTACTTAATCCTTGGTAAACTAAAATGGTTATAAAAGGTTTTTTTAAAAATTCATTTAGAAAATGAAATTATTCCACCCTCATTGTTCTATATGTTTCTCCCTTGTAAGGTGGCATGCATACTTATATAATTTTTAAACTATAAAAACAGTTGGCTAGCTCAACATAACTGCTTTCTGTTCATCAAACCCCAGCCCATAACAGTATTTCACCTGCATTTATTCAGTACATCTGTGATCTTAGAAAAGTCATTGCACTTACCTGGGCCTCATCATCCTTTCTGGAATAAAGAGAGTGTTGCATTCATGGCTTCTTAAACTTTTTCCACTGGCGACCCCTTCAGTGCTTCTTAAACTGTGAGTTGTGACCCCACATGACCTCTAATGTCCATTCCAGCTTTAATATTCTCTGACTCTAGAATTTTAAAGGAAGATTCCATTTTTATTAAACACAGAAACTCACTTTCCTTAGAATTAATTCACTTTTTGTTATCAATAGCTGACTACAACTAAAATTTAGATGTAAGATCCTAGTCTGAACGAACCTAATCTTCTAGCCTTCCTAAACAGAAGAACAGTAGTGACCTCTCAGTTACCTACAATTTTCTTCAATGTTCCTTCAAAGTAGGATGTTTATATTTTTGTGGAAGGTCTAGAAACAATATGGGAAATTATTTTTCTAAGATAAAACCCTGTAAAAATCACTTAGTATATGTTCTGAAAGTATGTATATTGATATCTGGTTTCATCCTGTTCCCATTTTAGAGGCAAGGGAGAGCTTCTTTGTTATTTGGAAAAGAATTCAATGGGAATCCTTCTTTTCAACACTAAAGTCTTTTATATACTTGGTGGAAGAAAAATTGGACTGGGAGTCAGGGAATCTGAAGTCTATTCCTCTATCTGCTCCTAATTACTTATATCATTGGCCTACGTTTCATCATTTGTAGAATGAATATGTTGAACTAGATAATCTCTAGCTCTAAGATCCAAAGACTTGATCTTCTAAGACAAGTGTCTTCTCTGCTTTAATGAAGTCTTAAACATGTTTGTATTTATTCCATCTAAACCAGAAGTTCTTAACTTTTTGGTATAATGGATCACTTTGGCAGGTTGGTGAAGCCTATGGACTCCTTAAGAAGGAGAATTATTCTAAGAAAATAATATTTTTAAACGCATAAAAATAAAACATTAAATGCATAAAATAAGACCAATTAATATTGAAATAAAGATGAATATAATGAGGATTCTCCTCCAAGTTCACAAACTCCTCCCACCTCCACCCCTGCCCAATCTATCCATAAACTCCAGATTAAGCTCAGTTATATTAAAGGAAAAAGACCCACTTGATGCTGACCCACTAAATCAGAAAGTAACTTATGATGCTAGACAAAATGCACCTATTTGTAACTAAAAAAATGATATCCGCAGCTTAAGAACCGTCTTTTTAACAATGAAGAATGAATCTTAGTGTTAGACTCAGTAATATCTGCGTATGTTTTCTCCTGAGGTATGGATAAATCCAAATTCTTTGGTGACTCTCTACTAAACCCCCACAGCCCTTTTCCTCCTTTCTTTCTCATCTGACTTACACTGTTCTATCTACCTGCCGTGTCTATCAAACAGACTTGGTGAGGTCTATGTGTATAGAAATTAGCAGAGAGTGAATCAACAGATAGTTCAGAATTCATTATGTTCCTGCTGAGTACCAACTTGGATGGCACAACTAAAGTCCACTTAATAACCATTTAAAATGGTGTGAACTGAAGCTTTTTCAAGAAAAAAAAGGGATTCTGAAAGGAAAATAGTCCCATTATAAAGAGTTAAAAATAGTAAACTCTTTGAGGGAAGAAAGCAATTTAAATAGCTAGAAACACTAGATAGCAGAAGTGTTAGGGAGGGAAGAGTACAGAGAGAATTACATCAACAAAAGAACAAAGGAAAATGAAATCAAATAAAAGAAGTGAGAAACAGACAAAAGGCATTTGCCAAATAAAGAAGCAATAACACCAACACCAAATAAAGACAAAGGATCTATTTATGAATGAAAGGCCTGATGCACTTATAGTAGAACAGTTTACTAAACATTTCATTCTTCCCATGGGAATGCTTAATTCCATAATTCATTTTGATACTAGCCACTCTGAGTTGAGAAAAAGAGAATTACAAATAGGTGAGAGCTTCTCAAAGAGAAGCTAAGCCAAGCCCATAATTGTCATATCACAGTGATAGAATTAGATCATTTTAAGAGTTGGTCAAATTTCTAGGCATAGGGGAAATCAAGGAAAATCCCAAACTGCATGGAACTTTGCTTTTAGATAAGCCTCCTTGTTTTCTCTCAAAAAAAAGGCATAATATATTTGAGGGAAGACCTCAGAGTAGCTATGTTTCAAAATTCAATTCTGCTAAGTAACTTACTAATTTTTTTTAGCAAAAAAGTTTATTCTTTTTTTCAGTGTTCTAATAGACTAAGATCAGCAAGTTTATAGCACTGATGCCACTGAGAAAATTGTTTGTGCCACCCTTCTATGTCCTACCTCATACATCCCTTTCCCTTTCCTCCTATCCCTCTCCCATTTATTCCCTTTCCCCTCCTCTTATCCTTTTTTCTATTCTGTTTTTCCCTTTTCTCTATCCATGCCTCAAACTTGCCAGTTCCACCTGAGGGTTAAGTAATAATGGTAATTGTGACACATATTTATGGATTTGTTTGTTACAATAAAAGCCAAAAAAAAGAGATTAAGATCACCTACCACTAGTACTTCTCACTGTCTTTTTTGTTGTTTTTCTCCTCCATTTTTATCTAATATTGTTATTCCTTATTTGGAGAAAAGATTTAAGAGAAACATGATAACTATCTCCAAATATTTGAAGGGCTGTTTAGGGTTGTTATGTGGAGATGATAGACTTGTTCTGTTTGACTCCAAAGGATAAAACTAGGCTAAAAATATGGAGGTTACAGAGTCAGATTTCAAGGCAGTATAAGGAAGAATTTAGTACTAGTTATTAAAGAACCTCCTGAGCCTCATTTTCCTCATCTGTAAAGGGAGGTCCCATAATATGAAATGGATAATCATTAAGGTTCCTTCCAAAATCTTCTGATTCTATGAATTAAGTCTATCCAATAATAGAAGAGGCTACCTCTGAAACTATTGAACTATCACTTGACAAGCTTTGAAATTGTAAAATTGTAAAAGGTATACTTGCACTGAGTGAAAGATTGGCCTCTAAAGTACTTTCCAACTCTTAAGATTCTGTGCAGTTAGGAATGAGTCAAAGTTGTCATTATTACTATTGCCTTATTCAAGGTTTTGAGACATTTTGATGAGCAGTGTATGAGAGATATGTTAGCTCAGACTTTTTAATTACAGTTTTTAGATATTTCCCATTATAATAATTGACATTCATATAGTATCTTAAGATTTGCAAAACACTTTATATTCATTGTTTGGGTTTCACAACAACTTTGTAAGACATTTACTACAAGTATCATTCCTATTTTACAGATGAGGAGATTTAGACTCGGAAAAGACAAGTGACTTGCACATAGTTAACAAAACTAGTAAGTGCTGTAGGTAGAATTTGAATCCAATTTCCTGACTCCTAAGACTGGCACTTTATCCACTCAGCACTGCTGCCCTCCCTAAGAAATTTCCTGCACAGTGTGACTTACACCAAGTCCTTCGGCTAGCCAGTAATAGACAACTCTGGTGGTTGCTGTCAGGGAGAAGTAACCTGTATGGTCATTAAGGCCAAATCTCTACAAGGTTTTTTGTTTGTTTTAGTGTTTTGTTTTGTTTTTCACATGCAGCTAACCTCTACCATTTGATGCCATCACACTTATAGGGGAGTTAAAATTGTATTTGCATATGTGCAAGGATATATTGGTATAAAGCTTTATCCTAAGTTGATTAATTTTTTTTTAAAAATAGCTATTTTTAAACACGCTGAAAGAATATATTTGTTTTGCTTTAACTGCTCCCCTTTTTCCCCAACCCCTGCCCAGTTTTACATTTGGATTCACTGATTCTTTATAGGCC